AGAGAGAGAGAGAGATAACAGCATATATTTATTCAGAGTGTGGGGGTTCAGTTTCCTAACACGGAAAGTAAATGCAGGAGGATTTAATAGTTCTCAGTTGGTGGGAAAATTGTCAACTATTATTTATGGTGCCTCAAATCTCACTATGGGAGGGAAAAAATGAAATTCAAGTATATATTTCCCTTCTAGGAAAGGCCTTATCTGGAAAAGTTCCAATGCCTAGTTTAGAAGGGAGACAAAAGTTATTTGCACTATACATTACTTTGCTGAAACCAAGTAGTAGTAAGATCTGGGAACACAGCTGCCAACTTTCACGCGGTAAATAAGCACCCCGACTTTCACAATAAGCCAAAATCAAGCTAATCCCATTTTAAAACGAGGCCAAAACAAGCCGATCCCTAAGAACTTCAACACTCTATGTGACCAAATCTTGCCGGCATGCAGTCTGGGACTGTGATGTGTCCACTGTGCACCCCTGACTATTTCCCCCTTGCCACTGCTTGCCCCTTACCTCTGCATGCCTCCCCACCCCCCATCTCTGCTTGCCCTCTTCCCCCACCCCCCGCCCCTGCTTGCCGGGAGATGATAAAAAAAAAGAAGCAACAAGCCAAAAACTAGCCAATAAGCAACTCACAAGCCAGTTAAGCCAAAAACAAGCCCAATTTCTGCGTTATTTTTGCAGGTTTGGCATGTCTGTCTGGGAACTTGCAGACTAGGGTCTGATGCAGCAGAAGAAACACATGGCAGAGATGAAGTTTCAGCCTCAGGGAAATCTCTCACTCTGTGGCTGGTGATGAATTAATTTTTAGAAGAAATCTCTGCCTAACTGGCTGAGGCATGGAATCATCTCCACCATATTGAAGATGAAAGAGGGCAGCCAATCTTCGGAGTACTTTTATTATTGTTTTCAGGGAAAGTGGCATTAATGTGATATTAGAAGCTTTCAATAAAAACCAAACACAAATCTTAAAAAAACAGATTCTTGGCAGAGGATAAAATCAGGTAGGGACACAGGTGGCTTTCAACCACTTTTACATTCCTCAGTGTTTAAGCTGTCTGGCCCCTAGTATAAGTTGGAGCAGCCTTCAGGCTGCTGTAAATTGTGCTTAACTACTCATAGTCATAAGGTACTCTTCTAGCAATGGGGACTGTCAAGGAATAGGACCACCCTGGCCTCACCACCTTCCCCCCACCTTCCAGGAAAGTCCCATTCACTAGGGTTTGGAGGGGTGAAGCAGAAGCTGCTGCAGGGTTCTACACCACCTAGGGATTTTCCCTTGTACAACCAGAATCCTCAAAGTGGTGCAAAACAGCTATAGAAAGTGTGACAGGGCGCTATCAGCAGCACCCCAGTCACTGATATTGCTGCAACCCGAGGACAGGGCCACCCGGGGGGGGCGCAAGTGGGGCAATTTGCCCCGGGCCCCGCTGGGGCCCCCACTAGAATATAGTATTCTATAGTATTGCAACTTTTTTTATGGAAGGGGGCCCCCGAAATTGCTTTGCCCCAGGCCCCCTGAATCCTCTGGGCGGCCCTGCCCAAGGAAGGCCACAGGCCCAACTGGGGGCAATTATACACTTTCTATTGGGGGATTGTGAGCACCTGGGTGACAATCACTGGGGCCAACAAGGTAATTAGGGTGAATATAAGGGGAGGAAACAGGATCAAGGAGCAGCTCAGAAGGAAGCTCAGGGGGTGAGGGCTGCAGGAAGCCTATGCTTTCTGTAAGCCTGTGTTGCAAAGTATTACTATGTAAGAGGGGAGTAAATACACACCTGGGTGAAAGATAAACAGCCCAGTGTGTGTTTGTGACTGTGAAACCATCTGAACTGGCCAGGCAATGAGGGTCACCAGACAGCGATGGTGGCACCCTGTGACAGAAGGGCTGAGAATTTGGGCCGTCTTTCTATTAGTCACTAAATAAATGTGTAATGTCAACCTCACAAATACTATATTTTCAATTTAACCTAATATTTGAATAAGTAGGGATTTTTTCTTGCTAAGGCATGAATTTAGGACTCTGTGTGTGTTGCCTTAATGACATACCAGCATTGAATTCCCAAGGTCATATCTGTTTTTTTTTTAATAGGATATTTTGACACACCATTCCCTGCCCCAAGGGTTAGAAGCTTCCATTGTCTGTTATCCTTCATTCAGTTTTGGAGTAAAATGGGAGGGAAGACTCACTTGACCAATGTCTGTGAAATAAGTCTATGGAGAATCAGAAAGGGCAAAACTCCAAACAACAAGCAAGTTGAAGGCCCAACATTAATTACTCTTTCCAGCATCAGGGCATGCCACAGAGTTCTGAGAATGACCTGCTCTATTAGAGATGCACTGCATGTGGGAAACCAATTATTGTTGTTCCCTGATCTCAGTCTCACTGTTCAGGCCAGATGGAAGAACTGGCCATTTTGAGATGCTCTTTTTTAGATGAAGGATTTAATGTCTGAAACATGCTTGTAGCAACAGTCAAAATAAGGTTTTTTTAGCAGCTAGCACTGCAAGCTCAACACAGCTTTGTTTTCAGATACCAGGTTGACTTCTGCCTTGTATATCATCACTGACCATAAGCAATCTGTTATTGAGAACTGGCAGTTGCCATTTTGTTGACAGTTGGCCATAATTACATTTCACGGGCCATCGCTGGAAATGCACTCCGTGTCATAACTAAAGGTAAAAGGCTGATTGCTTTCTGAGGTCACAAGACAAAGTCTAATGGGCCCTGTAACTAAACTATCATTCTATAGATTTAGTTAGAGACTTTCCAAGACGCTTAGTGGACTTGGATGCCCAATTCTGATTAATTTCAATAGGAATTAGGTGTCCAAATCCCATGAGAGGTTTTGAATACTTCAGCCTTAATGACCTCTACTAACAACACAGAAAATCTGCTGTTGATTTTAGCTCTCCACTGAAGTTTCTTTACTGCATGTATTGTGCTCTTGTCTTCCACTGAAATCAGAGGAGTTTTAGGAAGCACCTGGTAGATTGCACAGCCAACTCCTTCTACCTACAAGAAACTGTAACATTCAGAAGTAGTTGAGTAAATCATTTTTCAAACTCTACAGCTCATTGTTCCTGACTTGAGTTGTAACACTGATTTGCACATTGTGCTTCCACCTCAAACCCATATTACAATTTGTTACCGAAGTCAGGACTGAACATTGTGGCAATTTGCAGCACTCATTGTCTACCATGAGACAAAATCTTCTTACACCTGCTGTGCCCATGAAGCATTTCCTAAAGGAGCATTCTCTGTTTGCAACATCACACCCAGACACATTATTATAGGATGTATATATCAAATGACAAGTTATGGTATAAAAGTTTTATTAACATGAGTTTGGGATGACAATATTACTCATGAGAGATTAAGTCAACTGTCATTTAATGGCTGGACTACAGAGAGGGAAAAGGGGATATTACTGCAGCCAGTTGTGGGAGTTCTCCTTTCGTTTATGGAGTAGAGGTCTCTATGTTAGGACAAGGATTCTAGTCCTACCTCTCCTTGTATGTATATGTGGGAGATATATAGTAACTTTGTCTATTTGTAGCACAAGAATTCCTTATATTAGCACCTTTCATGGTTAGAAGAAGATCCTGTGTCCCTTCATACTACTGGGAATCTTCCATTTCCAGTGGAATAAAGCTCTCATTTCACTGATGGCCCACAGGATATCAGACCATAAACCTGTCACTGGGGAAAGACTGATGACAAATAAATTGCCTGCCTTGCACTTCATTCGCGTGTATAAGGTAGTGGCTGTAATAAGGATGTTGTTTTATTAAATGTGCATTTCTCCACATGTATGTTGGCAATATCATTGTGATAAATTACAGGGCCTTGTAATAAACTACATTTATCCTACACCTTTGTCCTCTTTCCCTTGTACTCATTCACATCTGATGAGAGTATTTCCAAGGCTCTGGGCAGTTTTTGGACAGCTGCATTTAAAAAAAAAATCAACTTGCCAGGGAAATTTTTTCCTCCTAAATGGCAGTTTTTGGACAGCTGCATTTTAAAAAAAAAAATCAACTTGCCAGGGAAATTTTTTCCTCCTAAATATGGATTCACTTCCCCAAATTACACTGGCATGATGTGCAGGGCCCTTGGGGAGTTAGTCCATATTTGAGAAGAGAGAAGGAAACATTTTCCTGGCAAGTTGACTTTTTTTTTTTGAATGGCAGCTGTTCAAAACTGCCCAGAGGCTTGGAAATACTCTCATCAGATGTGAATGATGGTAAGGTAAGGAGGACAAAGGTGCAGAACAAATGCAGTTTATTACAAGGGTCTGCAATCTAGCACAATGATACTGCCAACATCTGTATGGAGAAATATATATAGTTAATAAAACAACTTCCTTACCACATCTACTACCTTAGAGTCTGATTCTGCCATCCTTACTCTTCAAATAGTCATAATAAATCTGGTCTTTTGATTTTAACAGCATGCCTATCTTTTTGTACATGGAATTTTGTGTGCATAACCGTTTTCATGCAGTACTATATAAAACTGCAGACGACAACATACACAAAATTGCATACCCAAATGATTGTGCACATAAAATTGCACATGCAAAACTAGAGGCCATATGTTGCACGATGTTTTAGAGATATAAATTTGATACCATTCTTTCAGATTTCCTCCTTTAGAACCAGAAATATTAAGACACACAAATGTAGGTAACCTAAATAGTGAGGAAGAAAACCTGCATAAGAAAATGAGTTCTTTCAGTTAGGGAGATTTGTATTTTCCTTTCAAATCAGCAAACGTTTTCTCTTAAAGTCTAAGTGCCATGGTCTTCCCTATATAAATGTGAAAACTGCTTGGCATTTGTAGGAAAAAGAGAGAAGTAGGGAAGGGAGAAATGCAGACACTGAATATAAGGAGAAAATTCCCTCAAATATTCTCCTTCTCTCAAGAATGAGCATTCAAAGGGATAATGCATATCTATGAAATTGAGGTTTCCAGCTCTGTGTAAAGAAAGGCACTTACCTTATAGGATTATCCATCCTTGATACTGTGAGAAATGCTGCTAAATTAGCTGTATAGGATGAACACACAATAAGGGTAAAGAGCCACCAACTTCCCATCACAATGCGCATAGCCACAGAATTGATAGCAGATTCACCACCTACAAATAAGCAGAGAAATTGAGGTATCACAGAAACCTACATTTAAGATCACCTACAGTACATGTTCCATGTGTAAAATGACACTGTGAATGATCTCTATGAATTTTACTTGTTCAAACTTGCATTAACAGATCACCCCATCAATGTGTTCAAAGACCTATCTTAAGTAGGTCTGATATTTTATAAAAACATACTATCTAACTGCTCAGCATCCAGAAAGCTATGGAATACTCTGTTGTACTGGTGAGGTTTGATCTGCAACAAAAAAAAAATACTAAAATGTGTTAAAATCACTGGTTTGAATTAAATCTTGTAAAATTTCTACGTCAACCCTCTCACTCCAATTGCCCCTCACATAGTCATAGAATAATGCTCTCAAGAAAATCCACACAGGGCCTTACCCAGAATTGTCAGGATCTAATTCACAGAATGACTTCCATAAATACAGCCAAATTAATAATTAATAATAAATAACAATAACAATAATGCAATATCACTATCTAAACATACAGGTTAAATATTCAGAGTATATCAAAGTAGACCTATATTATGTGTGAGGGGGTAATATAACTTTTAAACTGAGGACAACTGTTCAAACTTCTGTATGCTACTTATGCTGAATTAAATAATATGAGATTGTGGCATCAGTTACCCTACATTAGATTTCTCTATGATGTTTCCAGTGCAATGATGCTTGACCTTTAGTTAAAGACAAAACTCTGTTAAACAACTGATTTTTGCTAGTCCCTCTGGTGTCTGCTTAGGGTAAGAAACATAAGAAAGGCCACGCTGGATCAGATCAATGGTCCATCTAGACCAGTGGTTCTCAAACTTTTTTTCTGGTGGCCCAGTTGAAGAAAATTGTTGATGCCCATGACCCAACGGAGCTGGGGATGAGGGGTTTGGCGTGTGGGAGGGGCTCAGGGCTGGGACAGAGGATTGAGGTGCGGAGCTGAGGGGTGGGGCCAGGGATGAAGGCTTTGCAGTGCAGGAGGGGGCTCCTGGTTTTGGGGGGCTCAGGGCTGGGGCAGGGGATTGAGGTTTGGGAGGGGGTCAGGGCTCTGGGCTGGGGGTGCAGGCTTTGGGGTGGGGCTAGGGTTGAGGGGTTTGGGGTGCAGAAAGGGGCTCCAGATTTGGGGGGGACTCAGGGGTGGGGCAGGAGATTGGGGTGCGGGGTTGGGGCATGGGATTACCTCAGGCGGCTCCTGGTCAGTGGCGTAGCGGGAGGGGCTAAGGCAGGCTTTCTGCCTGTCCTGGCACCACGGACCATGCTGCGCCCTGGAAGTGGCCAGCAGCAGGTCTGACTCCTAGGCAGAGGCACGCAAGTGGCTCCGTGAGGCTCTCGCTCCGGCCAATGGGAGTGCAGAGCTGGTGCTTGGGGCAGGGGCAGCATGCAGAGCCCCGTGGCCCCCCTGCCTAGGACCCGGACCTGCTGCTGGCCGCTTCCAAGGCGCAGTGCGGTTTCAAAACAGGTAAGGACTAGCCTGCCTTAGCTGGGCATCACCACCGACAGGACTTTTAACAGCCCAGTTGGTAGCGCTGACGAGAGCCAATGCGACCCAGTGCCTTCCATTCCGCGACCCAGTACTGGGTCATGACACGCAGTTTGAAAACCACTGATGTAGACTAGCATTCTGACTTCCAACAGTGCCAGATGCTTCAGAGGGAATAAAGAGAACAGGATAATTATTGAATAATCCATCCCCTATAATCCAGTCCCAGCTTCTGGCAATCAGAAGTTTAGGGACACCCACAGCATGGGGTTGCATCCCTGGCCATCTTGGCTAATAGCCACTGATTAACCTATTCTCCATGAATTTATCTAATTCGTTTTGGAACCCAGTTATACTTTTCACCTTCACAACATCCACTGGCAATGAGTTCCATAGGTTGACTGTGCATTGTGTGAAGAAGTACTTCCTTACATAGGTGCTGGAACTAGGGTTAATATAATATATGGCCTACTCTTTCATACTGAGATTGAAAAGTACTGACTGTAAGATAGTAAATGCTGACAGTACCTTGCTGAACAAAGGCCCCATACACAATCCAAATGGCACTGTGAAGCGTGGAGGAAGCAGATGGACTGGGATGTGAAGAATTCTGTGCTCTGACTGCCTGGATACGGTTTAAAACAAATATCAAGACACCAACTACAGGGATGGCAGCTGCAATACAGGCCCACACCGCAAAATCAAAGGGAGCAAAGAGAGAGAAGATGTTGATTTTCTCTTCAGGCTTCTTGATTAGAATCCCCACTGAATAATCCATGTACCGCTTGCTGAAGTCCACAACACTTTCCCGTTCTGGTGTTATAGTGATAGCCGAGATTGCCAAATCTGCTCTCTGCAAGAGAAATGCGACAGGTCATATTTCTTCCTGCCCCTAGCAAGCACATTGCTTAGATTGGGCAGATTTGGACAATAAGAGAAGTTCCGAAGTAGCCAATGGTTTACGTATTTCATTGATTTCTTTCTCTCATCTAATTTTAAATTGAAGTCTAGTTCAATGCATAAAAAGCAGTAGAACCATTTCAATTTATTGAGAGAAATTAATACAATAAAAATATGTACTAGTTGAAGGTGGAATACTGAAATGTACCCTGTGAAATTACTGTATAACAAAGAGCATCTAACTGTCTCACAGATGGGAATTTACTTAACCTTTCTGTCTCACTTTCCTCATCTACAGAATGGAGGCTAATAATCCTAGCTCTTACCTAACTGGGGCATTGTGAAGATTAATGAAAGAGTCACCATCAATATAAAAATCACACTCTGCATGAACACTTCTTTTTATCTACTTTTGTTACAAATAACTTCTGCAATTACTCTAACTGAAAGAGATTAATGGGAAACAGAAACCCTACTGTATTCCCCCCCACCCCCTTTGTTTATTTTGTGTATTTGGCAGTACTTTATGTATAGTTAGATTTCACTGTTTTCTCTGTACAGTCTATCAGTTTCCCATATTCATACAAGATTGTCATGCAACAACCAGAGAGACTGGTTTGTTTGTTTGTTTGTTAGTTAGTTAAAAAAGGATTAGGACAATGTGATTCTACAGCCATAAACATTGGAAGAAGGTTTCAGGGACAGTTTACCTCCTGAAACTATTTTAAACTCATTGTTTAAGTGAATAGATTTCATGGTAACAGTCATGCTGGCAAACTTTGTGGAAGGTAAACATTTTATTTGAAATTAATTTGAAAAAAAGTTTTTAAAACATATTTTCTGTTTCCTAACTTCCCTTTTGGGAAAGAACTCAGAGGAGAGGCTGATATAAAGCTTATTGAAATCAATGGAAAGACTAGTAACAGAAATACCGTAAGTACTCAATAGCTCACAAAAAAGCCTGATCTCATGGGACCTCTAACCAGATTTCCAAATTAATTAAATTCAGAACAGTTGGGATAAATTTAGAATAAATATGAAAATATCTAATGTTTACCTAATGCCCGATGTAATGAATATAGATTTTAGATATATATTTATTAGAGCTGTTCACTGAACTTGCATTTTGCTTAAATTTTCATCTCAAGCATCCTTTTTCCAGTAATACTAAATGACAAACATTTTACTTTCAGTTAAAACATATACTGCAGCAGAGCAAACTCCTGTGCAAAGAATATTTTGCACCATTGGATATTAATTCCTCTAAATGTCCTTGCACTACATTGATGTTGATTGTTCCATGTTAGAAGCTATGTGCATCTCCAAGAAAACACATTTCATTTCCTCTAGGGATTCTTGGCTATAATCATTTGTCAGTTATTTCAGTGGTGTTCAACTGTGCTCTTCCTGATTTATACGGGTATAACTAAAAAAAGAATCTGGTCCTCCAAGTGTTATCTGACTATCATCTTGAGACCAGCTTTCCATTCTTCTTCTTCAAAATGTTTCTGTACAATGCATCCATTGGAATCAAATAGTTGATCATTATAAAACCATATTGCTATAAAGAAGGTGACCCAAAGGAAGTTTAACAGAGTTAGAAATGAAGTTGTAGTAGCTTTGAATTAGTGGCAAAGATATAAGAGAAAGTCCTCTAATGAGAATGGAAGTAGAATACATATTTTGGTATCTATTTTCCATATGGTAAATATGCATAGTCTATTGTTACATGAGCATAGCTTACATTGACATTGGGAGTAACTTGCTATCACTGACAGAATAATATACTCTAGAGTCTTTGTTTTGTGGAGATGGGCCAAAAACACAAACATTTGGATCAGGATCCAAACTTCAGGAATGTTTAGAATTGGGGGTTGTGATTCTGACTCATCCCTTGTATTTTACTGGGGAGGATTTCATTATACCCTTTAAAAAAAGTTAGCTGCACTCTGCTTGGAGATCTCTGTTTCTGCTCTCTGTACCTTGTTAATAAGTTCTCCAATCATGCCGTTCCAAGAGCTGTTATGGAGCTGGTGTCCATACTTGCCATCAGGAGATTGATAAATCTCATACTTGAAGCCCAGATTCTTGGCAAGTGCATCCAAAACATCAATGGAAAATCCTTTATAGCGCTTCGGTTGCCCAAGTATGTTCTCTGCCACCATCACAAAAGGCTCTTCCTGAGAAAAAAATAACATCTAAACTAATATTTAAAGAAGTTTTTTTGAAATGCCTAAAAAAATGGATTTAACTCTCATCAACCCAGTACTATTGTTGGTTTTTAGAATACTGAGGTTGTCCAGCCCAGAATAATGTAGTTTTATAGATTTTTTTTCATAAGGTAACGAACGTATCATCTACCCAGGGCACACACTGAAATAATAACTAGAAAACACTTTGATTATTTTTACATTATTTAGCATTATGACCAGTCCAAGAATAGTTCTTACAGGGATTGTCCCCTGAAGTGCTTTTAGAGTTAGCAAAATGCATTTTGGAAATCGTGCAATAGGGAATCCTGCAGGGCGATGGTGTTTCAGTCTGACAGAGACTGTGTGCTCAATTGCCAAGGGAATGCCAGCTCTACTGATTTTACAGCCATTGCTGTTGGCCATGTCTGCAAACTGGTGCTGACATCCTCTCCGGATGGAGCTGCTCACCTCCCACAAAGCGGGGAGATATGATCACAGCCTTTACTAGCTAGAGGGAAGAAAGATAAAAACAGATGGAAAGAAAACTGTCCTAATGATCTCCTACAGTTCTCCAGATCTTTCTAATGCACTTTGATCTAGGAGAAGAGAGAAAATACACATAGAAAAATAAGTAAGTTAAGAAGCATGCATTATTTACATAGGCAACTATAGTATTTTTCAACCAGAGGATGACATTATTATAATGAAGAACTGGTGCGGGCATATGGTTTTGGTAAAGAAGAAAAACATAATGAGGTCACCATGTTCAGCATATTAAGTAGTTATAAAGTAACTGCTCCCTTAAAAATATATATTTTTAGTGGCTTAGCCAAGCAGAAAATTAATGAACTACCCTTTTATCTCTGGAAACAAGTTCAAATCCTAATTTATTCCCAATGTAGCTTTTAGCTAACTGGAGCTCCAGTACCTTCTAAGTTACTAGTGGAAAGTGGCCCTATACCATCACATAACGTGACAAGATTAGAAGACCTCTCCAAGGAAGCCCAGGAGTCTTTCTAAAAGAGATACTTTAGCTCAACAAGCAATTATGGACTTAATGAAAGAATCGCTTGATGAAATGCTATGGCCTGCATTATGCAGGAGGTGAGAATAGATGATCACAATGTTCCTGACTGGCCTTAAAATCTAGTAATCAGTACAGGAAATTGTTACAGGTTAGAGTAAGGAGCACTGTGCAGAGGATCAGTACAAGTCCCAGGCAGTGTATTGGTCACGTGCACAGAGGTGAATTTCAGCCTGGGTGACTATTTGAGACTAGCACACAGTCTCAGTATGCAATTCTCTAAACTCCTGATTTTAATGAACATCAACAAAGTCACACAAAAACAGAAAAGTCCTCCATCTCTCTTCTCTTGCTTATGCAGCTGGTCAGCCCAAGTAGATGACACAGAATTAAAAGAAATAATGAAAAATTACGGGAGGGAACAACCAAATATCCTATCACAGCATTTTTATTTTGAGTATTTTGTCTCCTGAACTCAAATAGGATCATACCAAGACAGTCACCACTTTCAGTGTCAGTCCTTGTAAGTCACTGCCCAGACGCCGTTCTTGTAGGCTGCCATTCAGTCCCTTTTCAGAGTCCCATGTTGCCAACTACAAATAGAAATAATACAGTGAGTATGAAGGCAATATTAGGCATGTACATTTTTAACATTTACCTAAAATACTTTAACAGCAATTTGACTGAATGGTTATATTCAAAAACAGTAGAGAGTAAAAAAGGGGAGGGGCGGGAGAGAATGAGGCATTTTTGCTCCCCATTAGTGTCTGGATAATGATGAGTGAAATTTAAGAGGATAAAAATGCCCAAGTACTTTGGCTGAATGTGTTTTCTTCAATACATCTCACAATAACTCTGCTTTGTTATCTACAGTACTTGTCATATCATTTCACCTAAGTCACTTTGACAAGACTTTTCTTTTTGGCAAGTTTCTATTGCCTCATCATCAGCAAGATTACCTGTGGTCTCACCACTGCTCCCTCTCTGTTCTCATTCTCTGCCTATATTTCAACCCATTCCCCACTGCTCATCAAGTGCAGTTCCCTTCTCTGGTGCACAACCCTGTATCTCATCAATAAGTAGTAAATGCTTGATATTGTTGGCATCATAAGGAATGGACTCCCCTTCCATCTATATGAGAATGGCTCTTCAGCTCCTATCTGAAGACTTATTTCCTCTCCTTGACCTAGAACTCCCTACCCTCTCGCTAATAAAACAATCACACCCATTTCTCTCAAATGCCAAGGTTGCTGAAGATCAAATATCTCCTAAGCTTTAAAATAAGTTATAAACCTGGTGTATGCACCCTGCTTAACCCCAGCCCTGCAATATTTATTGATGCTACTTTTGTCAGTATATCTAAATGCATTAGTTTTCAATTAAATATGATACAGCACATCAAACTAAATTGTACTGCATTTTCTGACAAGAAGTCTAATGTGGTAGTCCGCCTCAGAAGACCTATTGGATTTTTCACAGTGAATACTCTCTCTTTAGTCAGTAGCAGACTGTTCCTTTTACCCTAGAATGGAATCCATGAAATTGTTTTGTTTTGGACGGAAATAAGTGATATTGAGGTCAAACCTCTTGTGTTTGTCATCAGCCCTTCACTTAGAGATATGTAGGCCAGTATTTATGCTGCTAGCTGTAGGCATACCCCTTAGAAATTAAATGTAGGCCAGAGAACACTAAAATGTGGCTTCTTCCAGTTGGGTATCCTTAGTGTAAAGAGTCAAATCCTTTCCTGAGAAGGAATGTATTTTGCTGATAATGCCTCTGGTTAAGAGTCCTACGAGACTTACTTCTGTTACTTTAATTTTATCATTCACCCCCAAAAGTTGGACCAACACTCAACAAATAATGGGGGACCACATAACAAATCCTCAGCCAGAGCTTTGGATACAGTGAGTACATAAAAATGATAATCTCACAGATCCATCTTAGTTTGATGATTGGTTGGTCATAGGAATGAAATGGGCACTAGAGTTATTGTAGGTTTCACAACAATATTCACATACCTATGAAAACTGGGTACAGTATAGGAAAGTCAGGAATTAGGCTACATCTATTTTAACACATCTGAGAGTGCTAAGAGGTGGGAGATATAGGTAGTGTCAAAAGCTACAATGACCCAAACTTGAATGCTCTCACACTGCTATGTCATTTTGGAAATACCACCCTCTGGGTGAAGTAGTAATTCCACTGGGATAGTCTCCTATGAACACCTACAGCCATGGCCAGTGGAATTTAACAGGAAAGTTCAATTTTAAATTTAATGTCATATATTTGCTCTCAAAATAAATCTAAATAAAAAAAAACATAGGAAAAATCCTTATCATTTAACAAAACAAGCCAGATCCTCAACAAATATAAAACAGCATAGCTTAATTGACTGAAAAGGAGCAAGTCCAATTTGCACCAGTTGAGAATCTGGATATTTATTCAAAGCTAGGAAGCAAAACACAATCCTGTATTACTCACCATCTTCTCTTTCAATGTCTTAGCGAACAATTCCTTCTCCCACCCCTTTTCTCTTCCCCACCTTTAAAAATAGCCTTTACCGGAAGACTAAGATATGAATCATTTGAATATCATCTAAATACAGTCCTCACCAAGACTGGGAGTTCTCAAAGAGGAGCTGAAAAATATGCCAACATAAATAAGGATTTTTTTTTGCTTTAGTTTAAAAGGGGAGAAACTGGCTTCTCATATATTAAATAGGATGAGGTTCAGGGAGGACGGGAATATGTCTAAGATATTTTTATGGTTTCTCTCTATTTCATTTCAGCCTCAACTGCATACTGTTTTGTATGCAGAGGTAAATTTTGCAGTCTATAAAAAGTAAATGATGCAGATAAGGTTGATAAATGGAACATGAGGAAAACCTTTTACCAAAAGGGATTCTTCCTCTGAATCCTTGAGCTTCAGACCATTTCATTTGTTCATACGTGTGTCAATTTTGACTTCCACTTGTTCTTGTAGACAGAATTTTGTTTATAGGATCAATGAATTTACGGTTATATACACCAGTTCTTGACAGCTGACCTGTCAAGATCAGTCCCTGAAAAACTAATCTCCAGCACTGTTAAACAAAATGAGTGCTGCTGCTATTTGATAAGACAGTTACAGTTTTCATTCTTTGTGGAAATGTGCTATACTTCTACCAGAAATCTGAAGCCAGAGGTTACAGCACAATCATCAATTGATAGGAGATGTATGGCTTCTAAATCTGATTATGACAAACAACTGCTCATAGGATCAGCCACTCGTAGAATAAATTTCATAAACCACTGGTCTCTGGAAAATATATTTGCTGAAGCAATCCAGGGTATTCTTGATTCTCAAGTTATTGAATTGCAGGGTTTGGGCTTCCTGGTTGTGTCTTTAATAAAGCTTTTGGCTTAAAGCCTTCCAGCTAGGCTTTCTTTCTGATTAAGGCTTGTATTGTGCATAGCTATATTACAGACAAATCCTACATTCCCTTCATAAAACAGAAGATCAATCACCACTGAAGCCTAAACTGGAGAAACAGCTACAAAATCCTGATGAAATTATCATTTCTTTGGAAATTCTGGCACAAGGCATGGTGCTAATATTTCTCAGATAGTTGTTGTACTTGTGAGCACATTCGCTGAGAAAAACTTGGAAAGAAACTAACAAGCGCAATTGTATTTTACAACACATAAATGCAGCACATGGTCATGCACACACAGCATATACAACAGTGAAACATTGTTACTAGTTGGTTAATGAACTGTTAATGAAACATTTAAAGGGTCTGATCCTATAAACTGCTAAAAGGCCCTGGGACATGCTGAGTGCCTTCCACTTCTCCTGACTGGGAGCTCAAATTGCTCAGGACCTCGCAGGAGGCACTTAAATGTTGTGTGCTTGGACTCCATGTGCTTCCATCAATAAGTAAGGAGCCAGATCCTGCTAATTGCCAATGAGAGATACACACACACAAAAGATTGGCCAGATTGGATCCTATGTTAATGAAGTTCCTGATCTCTCTCAGCCTTACGTATGTAATTGGTCCTATTCAAGTTAGTAGGTCTGATTGTGCTTTCACACCAGAGAATATCTGAAATAACTCCACTGAAGTCAATGGAGTTACATTGATGTAAAATTGTTAAGTAAGAACAGAATCTGAGCCAATGAGACTGCTCATAATAACAGTGTTAAGTCACATAAGTAACATTAGCATGGATTGTACTTGGATTATAAGTACATTATGTCTTATATGATCAATAGTATATAGTAGCAGAGACATACATTATCCATAAATGGCAATATGATTATATAACTATTTGCTTATGCATCAACTGCCATTGCAAATGCATTTTCTTTAAGAGCAGTACTTTGATATAAATTTTACAGCTATGTTCAGTAAGCCATTTATAATTAAATCCACAGCCATTTCAATGAAAAAATGCAGACATACTATTGACAATTAGACAGTAAACATTTACTAAACCTCATATAATCAAGTGTGTGTAGAAATAAATGTCTATAATAATCAGTTATAATTCAATGCACTTGATCCTTAAATTAACAGATTTAAGTGGAAAAATATGTATTTTATCTTTTCTACTAAAAGATGAAAATTGTCCCTTGCATCTATCAAGCAAATATAGCTGAAAAATTGAAAGTGACATAAAAAGTGAATATTTATATTTATACCACATCAGTAACTAAGACCACCCACATCTATATTATTTAAGTTTAGGATACAGTAATTACTGTCAAAATAATCTGTGCCACTATCATCTTACTCTCCTATTAGATATGACATCACCTAACATGATCTACTTTTCAAAAAAAATGTGGTCCCTTAGCAAATAAAACCTTATCATTTTTAACAGAAGCACATTAATTGCTTGAAGGGGTTTGCATTAACCAAAACCACAGATCTTCAATCCTGCCAAGAGGTAGCAAAACCTTGCTTGGGAACTCCTTTGTAGCATAAAGACCTTTTTGGACTTTCAGCACTAGGAAGAAAGCAAAAGAGAGGAATGTGTGTCAGGCAGTCATTTCTCAGAGCATGAGACATGGACCTCTAGTTCAATGCAAACTATGTTTCCTAGAAATGTGGAAGCTCAGTCCAAGCATGGAGACAGATAAACTAGTCCATCCTATCCCCAGTCAACCTGATTAAAGTTAACTGAAATGGACTCCTAAGCCCATTGCAATTCCAATACAAAACATTTTTGTATTTTATGGCAAGGGAGTAGGTATCAGAATATTTTAAAAATCTTCTTGTGCTAAATTAATTTATTTACATGTTGGACCACTCTGGTTAACATTGCCAGTCATTTATTGTACAGCCAAGTTAAACGGATCATTTGGAAGGTTTCTTGTGTCTTCCTCTCAAGCATCTGGTACTGGTCATTGTCAGAGCTAGGATACTGGCTAAGACTTGACAAGTGAGCTCATCCAATATAGTGTTACTGTCTAACACCACCTGCTCATGTTGCAACAGATTTACTTTTAAATATTATTATATACTGATTTCATTTTATGATACCTTTGTGTTAAAGATGTAGCCTGCTTCTGAACATCCACATAGTTGGAATGTCAGTATTCAATGGATGGGTATAATCAGTTTAAGACAGATACTGTAACAAGGGAAGAAGAGGTAGAAGG